CTGTTCCCCCAAGGCCTTCTCTCCTACTAATCTTATAGTAGGCGAAAGAGTCAAACATAGACTCTTTAGAGGGAGGACACCGCAACAGTTTACTTATCGCTACCAATAAACTGTTCCTTTCTTCTATGTGTAGTGTCCCTTCATGAAGTTTGAGATCATGTCTCTCCACAATTTCCTTTTTTTGTAGCTCTTAATATTTTTTTTTGTTATCTCTCCTAAACCTTGTCCTGCCATCCATTTCCACAAGATCACTTGGTAGGTTATGCGTTGTTTTCTTTTGTTACTCTCGCATTCAGTCCTCCCTGTGAGTATCAATTTTTCCAAGCCTACTTTCCTCAGTATGTGACCTAGAAATTTTAACTTCCAGATGTCAAGTATAAATGTCTATTTTGGTTCCATTCTCTTAAAACTTCGCCGTTTCTCAAGTGTTCGGTAAATGATATTCTCAACATCCTTCTGTAGAACCACATTTCCGTTGCTTCAAATCTCTTTTTCATCTGTGAGGCGATTGTCCAGCATTCGCTGCCATTTAGGAGGACTAATGAAATTCTTCTGCTTCTTGATACTTTGCTTAGCTTTTGGATGGCATACCTTACTTATTTTAAATTTATCATAATCTTTACAAAATGAAATTCTTATTACCACAGGAATCAAATGATGATGACAGGCCAAGATTTATAATTTATTTTTTTAAAATTACTTTTAAGTTTCATTATCCAACCTCTATGTTGTGCTTTAAACATTAAAATGGAAGTGATAATGACAAATTAAAGATTTTATATTCATAATAATCACGTTTTACTATAGAAATAATTTCCAAATGAGGAAGAATGGAACGTTCTGTAACCAAGAATAAATGCTTGTGTCATTGAGAATATATATATATATATATATATATATATATATATATATATATATATATATATATATATATATAGAAACAGAAATTTGTTATCGGAATGCATTGAAATGATGAAGAAACGAATTTGCAGCAAGTAAGAATGAATGAGAGTATTACAAGAAGAATATTAATGCATAATATATCAAAAGATTACTATAGAAATACAATGAAATGAGAAAGAAAGCAATTCTTTACCGAGAATTAATACAAGCGTTACAAATAGAATTGGGTAACACACACACACATACATACATACATTATTGAATATTAATTATTAACCACAAAATAAACATGAAGCACGGAAATTAAGCTTTTAAGTCCGGAATTTTCGGGCACGCCTGTGTCTTTCATCAGCAGTGCGAGAAATAAACAGAGAAACGGGGAAGACCCACCAACGCTTGTCCCTGTGGCTAAAACGATTTTTCTGATTTTCACTGAAGATATTTGGCAACTTGTATCCATTTTACATTGCTAATTTGTTACAACTTGTTGTCCAATCATTGCTGAATTTTCTATTCTTTATTTTCATATATAACATATAAACATTAATTGTTTATTTATTATTGTTTATTCATTTTAGGTTTGATAATGATTGGTGAAAGAATTACAATTAGCGTTAATTTATGCTACCTGTGGCAAAAAGGACTGAGTATAAGCACAGCGTCAAAAGAAATTAATGTTGTGGAACGCCCAGGAACTGTCAACGAACGTGTAGCACAAAACTGATTCATACGTTTAAAGGACAGAGACACCGGCGTCGAAGGCAAAACATTGTCAGTGAGATCACCTGTTGTGGAAGATGAAGGCTTGCCTTAAATCGATGAATAGCAGACAAGCATACGTACACAATAGGCAGAACGTGGTTCTTCTCAAAGCACCACCAACCAACACCTCCATAAGCTCGGACTTGTAAACAGATGTTGTCGAGAAGTTCCTCGTGAACTGACCAATGGCCAGGTTCAACAGCGAGTGTACATTTGTAAACAACTGCTACCAAATCCTCAAGATGGCCGTTTTTGGCATCGAATTGTAACTGGGGATGAAACTAGGATGTATTTTTCGTAACCCTAATAAGAGAAATCAGTGGTATCGTTCCGGCTAGAGAATCTGTTTACAATCAAGGACGTTTTGAACAGAAGGTTACGTTTTGCGTTTGGTGGAATTAAAAGTATGTGTTGCACTTTGAGTTTTGTTCCAGATGGCCATGCTGTAAACGCTGACCTTTATGCTCAACTGAGAGTATATGATGATTCAAAATCCCGCTGCCCGGAATTGGTCAATCGAAGGTGTGTGCTCCTACAATATGACAATTCCTCAGTACACACTGTAACAGGGGCGCAAATTAAAAGAACTTGTGGAACTGCATGTGCAGCCTCAACCTGCCTACAGTCCAGACTGTGCACTATCAGATTACCACTACGGTTATTCAAGAATGTGGAGGTGGTTGTAAACGAGTGCAGAGAGTTTTATGCCTATAAACCAGCTAAATGGTATAAGCGTTGGAATTGGGCTACTGGGACAACGATAAAACAGACAGTAGAATATGGTGGGATATATTTTGATGAATAAGCAGTTTTTGTATATAACTTGTTTGAACTATTGATTAAAATTGGAATACGAAAAAAAACGTTTGATTCGACTTAGTATATAAACTTTTACTACACACACACACACACACATATATATATATATATTATAAAAGTTTATATACCGTGAGAAAAAAATCTCTTACTTTATTGAAGTTAAACATATACTACAGAAATACATTTAAAACGAAGAGGAAAGGAATTTTGTAATGATTAGGAATTAATGGCAGTATAGGACTACTATATGTATAACAGCTAAACATTTCCTACAGAAATGCATTGCAAAAATGAGATTATCGGTGTTATAGAATTAAGAAAGGTGATGGTGACACAGTAGAATTATTATACGTATGATTTGTAAGCATTTATTCTAGAAGTGTATTACAAATGATTTTAATATAGAAATGTACAGAAAAGTATTTTCATATCAAACTGCAATGCAAATTAGAAGGTATTTTCAATGGTTAGGATTTAAGACAATTATTAACAAAATTGGTCTATTATCATTGTAGTACTAAAACATTACGTTAGGAATGAATTCTCTTTGAAACTTACCATTTGATTTGACCGACTGATGGAAATATCTATAAATGAATTCTTGCCAGGAGATTTTATTATATTTATCTAAGTTATGAAGTAATTACAAAATGACTTTTTCTTTTTGAAAGTTAATGAGCCTCGTTTTCGCGGTAAGAATAAAGCTACTCGAGCCAATCAAAATTCTTTCGTTTATAGATGTTGTTTGATTAAAAAAGAAATCTTCCTGGTTTAATTACTGAAACCGATGAAGGATGCGTATAACCCCACATCCCCAATTATCTATAGAGGTATTTTTATTGATCTTTACAGCTTGTATCTGTTTGTTTGCATTAGGGGAATAGATTCATTAGTGTGTCGGCAGATGGTGCCAGGTGTCAATACATTTTATCTCAATTTGGCACTTGTAAAAGATCAATTATCAGTTGTATCACTAAACCACTGAAAGAATAACATATTCATAGTTTGTTTCTTTCTTGCGTTTTCATAATTTTTATATACCGTCCTTCTCTCTTTTATTCTACATTTTTATTTCACTTTCGTACAAAGTGGAAAAATGATAAAATAAAAGATATGGAATCCGAGAATTGAGGATAAGATGAAATGATTGTAACTGATCAGAATAAGGTATTTTATTTAGAAGAGGAGGTTAATGTTGCACTATAAATGCCTTGACAATAGCGTTATTATTTCATCAGGAATTCTTTTATTGTTTGATTTTGAGCAAATGAGATTCATAAGAATCATTATTATCAGCGGGCAGTGTTCAAAAAATAAAAAAAAAATAAAACATTAAAATAAATTCTGTATTACATAAAAATATAATTTATATATGACAGAAATATATGTTACAGAAAAATATAAGTTATGATTTAGGAAAAAATAGGATTTACATGTTACAGAAAAACATAATTTATATGTTGCAGAAAAATAGGATTTATATGTTGCAGAAAAAAAAAAAAGAATTTCCGAAGGTGCATCGGAAGTGCGAAGGATGCCTTCCAAAAGCTAAGAAAAGTATTAAGAAACAGAATTTTTTTGTCAGATACAAGGAAAATAGCACTGAACTATTATGTAATATCAGTCATCCTATATGGCAGTGAATTCTGGAAAATCTCCTCACAGATGAAGAAGGACTTGAAACAATGGAAACTCGGTTCTACAGAAAAGAATACTATACAATGTGAGCAAGGACGAACATTTTGAGAAAATGGGAAGAGAAAGGACATGTTTACATCAGAAAGAGACAGCTGAAATATCTAGGGAAATATATATGCGGAAAGAAGAGCTTGGGAAATTTGGTACTCACAGGACAGAATGAAAGCAAGTGTGACCGGGAAAACAAAGCATAACTTACCTAGCGAGCTTGGCTGGCAGAACAGGGTTTAAGATAGAGAATAAAAGACAATATATATTAAGAGCTACAAATGACCGAAAATTGTGACGAGCTATGATCTCCAACGTCCTGATGGAATACGAACATAGAAGAAAGAGAAAATATAATTTATATATTACAGAAAAATTGAATTCATATGTTACAGAAAAACAGAATTTAAAAGGTACAGTAAAATATAATATGTTGCAGAAAATATAATTTATGCTAATAAATACTGCTCGTCAAAATATTTTCCATGGAAATAGCGTTAAAGTAGAATAGGCTTAGAACGTTTTGTCTGTGAGAATGCATGTGTAGAGTGGAAAATAATTCATCGCCTAAAGGGCCGACGGACTTACGGCACTTACCCTCGAAGGCGCATTACGGGCGTCCGGCGACGGCGAACGAAGGCCGGCCAGCAGCTTCGACGGACTCACGCATTTACCTTCTAAGGCGCATTACGGGCGTCCGGCGACGGCGAACGAAGGCCGGCCAGCAGCTTCGACGGACTAACGCATTTACCTTCTAAGGCGCATTACGGGCATCTGGCGACGGCGCGAACGCAGCTTCGACGGACTCACGCATTTACCTTCTAAGGCGCATGGCGGGCATCGGCGACGGAACGATCCGCCAGACTTCGACGGAACGCATTTACCTTCTAAGGCGCATTACGGGCATCCGGCGACCCTTCTCGACGGCGCATTTGGCTAAGGCGCATTCCGGTGTCGGCGACGGCGAACGAAGGCCCGCTTCGACGGAAAAGCATTTGAATTCTAAGGCGCATGGCGGGCATCCGGCGACCGCGAACGAAGGCCGCGTAAAAGCATTTGAATTCTGTCAAGGATGAAAAGAAAGGAGTGACAGATCCAGCCCTGATATGGCAGCAATACTCAATTTTTTTTTGTATCTTCTATTCATCGCAGAATCTTTATTAGAGTTTTTAAATTCCATCTCTTCAAGACGAAGGCTATCCTTTCTGTTCATAAATATTTTGCTTCTTTAAAAGCTTTCAAGACATAGGCGGTCATAGCTCTCTACAGTTTCCTGTTGTTTATTACATGTGGTCTACTATTTCTTCATGAGAAAGATAGCATAAAGATTTGCCTTCTCCACGGTTCAAGATTCAAAGATTTAGCATTTATTCACAGTTCGTGTTGGGAGATGGAATATCTAAAATAACCATATGTTTATATTTCACATATTCAGATTTTTTTCCATTTTGCTAGTCAGATTTATAATTTTCATTATTATATATATATATATATATATATATATATGAATCGAGAGATATTACACTTCATACAATATGTAGGATTAATAGACCGGTTAATGAAATGACAAAATGAGAATAACATTGGCAATAAGATTGATGGTATTTATTATATATTAGGTTTTTGACTAAATTGGAGCTCGAAGAGAAAGATTTTAAAGTCGGAATTTTCTGACATGCCTGTGTCCTTTTTCAACGAGACAAGTAATAAACAAAGAAGTTGAACTTATTCTTCAGAGGAATGTTTGTTGTTGGTTAGAGGGCTTCCTGTGGAAACTATATTCTCTGATTAAACCCAAATCTCTGTTTAATACTTTAGTATACATTTATATAGTAAGGTCATGATAGGTTTGGTAATCCGAGGATATAATCCAGAGAGCTCAATGTAACAACGGAGCAAATATAAATTAAATAATTAATAAAGAGACAACCTTAAGTTTCCATGACTATAATTTATTCCCCTAGAAATCATCAGGTCTCATCTCTAGTTACAAAGGAATTTAGTTTATCCTATTTTTAATACAAGTTTTTGAGGGATAATTTTAGATTGATATAATGTGACAGAGGTGGTGGGAGAGGGAGGACTATAATGTGGGATTTTATTTTGAAAATATATTTTAACACTGAACTGCGTCTTTATTGTCGTCTGTTAAATGAAGACGCTAAAACCATGCATCTAATGTCATCATTGCTATGGAACATTTGATAGAAGTATGCAGCGATAGGATAAATTGTTGTTTTTAATGATTTTTAATGGTTATTGAACCGAAGACAGAATTCCGTGCCTGTTTCTTCAAAATAATTACCTTTTTACATTTATGGCAGAAAAAGTACTTTGGTTTACTGTTTTTATTATGATTTTCTTGTACACATACAAATGTCTTATTTTTTGGGCTTAATGAATATAAAAATTGTCCCAGTGTTTGTTGATTTCGATGGCTTTCACCTAAACTGTTAGTCTTTTTGAAGGGCTATTTTTTGTTATATTTCGATAATAAATGGTGTGATAGGATAAGGAACAAATAATAACGTTTAAAAATGTTTCGCTTTTATTAAAGCTTCAGCACAGAATGAAATATAGAGAAAAAGAAAGAAAGTTAAAAAAAAATTAATTTTTGTGTAATTTGTTTTTCATTGGTTAATTAGACGTCACGTGCGTCTGTCTTGTCAAGTAGTGTTCTTGCGTAAATTTATGTATGTAAGTGTATCATCATTTAACTTTGTGTAAGCAGGATTCGGACGATAATGTATATTCGTTTGTGTGCACACGCGTATCTATGTGTATGTGCCTAGTTATCCGCATGTTAATTTGAGAGGATTATTAAGTAACATCGTTTGCCGTGGTGGTGGTGGTAGTAGTAGGAGGTAGACATATTTTAGATTCTTTAATTAGGAATTTTATAAAAGTTGTGTGTTTATAGATGGTAAGCGATTTATAAATGGTGTGTAAGTACTATTGTAGATTGTATAAAAGATACTAAAACTAGACATATGCATAATCCCCAAAAACGGCCAGTGTTCATAATTAATTTTATTTTTTGATTTCTTATTATAAGAGCTTCAATCATTTATAAAGTTCAACAAAAGAAAATATTTGTGCGTATACAAGAGGAAAACGTAATATAAGAAATCTAACCAAAACTGGCTTATCAGGCTTGTTTGACGAATCGTGTATTAAAGATGAATTACTAGCCCAAAATATGCATATGTGTTGGTGTTTGTGTGTTTATTTGGGTAGTACTGCTACTTTAATACAAGTTACGTTGAACGAGCCTGATCAGCTACTTTTGTTTAGATTTTTTAAATTATGTGTTTCTATAAATCAAGAAACATACATAAAAAACGCCATAAATTCTGTTAAAAATAAAAAATAACATCATCTTTGATAATGGATAATAATAATATAGCTGAAAGCGGTCAGCATTATTAATTAAAAAAAATAAAAAGCCAACACTCAATAACATCAACTATGAAGACAGCCACAATGTGTTTGCTGTATCTGGAAAATAAAACATTCCTATAACTTTGGCTACATACATAAAATAAATCCATATATTCAGTTAAAATAAAAAAATAAAATCATCCTTGATAATGGCTAAAAGAAAGCGATTAGCATTATATATATATATATATATATATATATATTTATATATATATATATATATATATATATAGAGAGAGAGAGAGAGAAGACATGTCTCACTGATTAATTTAGACAGGTTTTGTTCACGGACCAGCTTCTTAATATCCTTATTAAAGTATGAGAGAAAATTACCATGTTGATACATATTCATTTATTCCGAGTACTTTCAACATTAGCACAATGTCATCATCGGGGTGTTGTGTTTTTCTAAGACAAAATAGTTGTGTTCATCAGAATATTATTTTTTTTTAAACTGTGACGTGCAAAACCATAGGGTTTATGTTCTGTGCAGTTTAAATTTCACGATTTCGTCAAGGGAGGTAACTAAAATGCTGCTAATATATATATATATATATATATATATATATATATATATATATATATATGTGTGTGTGTGTGTGTGTGTGTGGAATAGGAAAGAACTCGTCTTGTTTTGAAACATCAGAACTCTTAAGTAGCGATGGAATCATATCTTTAAATAAATAATTATATGTATACATATATGCATGTATATATATATATATATATATATATATATATATATATATATATATATATATATATATATATATATACCTATTCTTTCTAATGTCTTCCGTCATTTAGTGCAGGTGTTAAAATGATTGATAACGGTAGAGGAGCTGAGTTAATGTTTTACTAAAGGCACTAAGATGAAAGTAAAATCAAGAGGCTCAACCAGAAATCGAAAACGGTTAGTTGAATACACATTTCCGGCCTTAAAGCCATTATAACTACTCGCACTTAAAAGTGTGACTACGAAGGTAGACACATACACACATATGTAAATATTTGAATATATGCTTAGGAATAAAATTTATATATCAATAGATGAATATTTATTATACCTATGTATATACGCGTCTTCTTGGTTCATGATTTATTAAAAAATTCACGCTAAATTTTAAAGGAACGAACATGTGTAACTTGTGGCAGCGTTTTTTTTGTTTTTTGTTTTTTTTTAAGCATTTCACCCCATGCAAGGCGGGAAGCCACTAGGACGCAAGGGGTTACAGAAAATAGGAAGATCAGATAGGATTGATAGAAGAAAGGATGAGGGTAGTAGATAGATTAAGGCAACTGGAGATGTCGATTGACATTACACTTGAATAACTGGAGATTATAACTCACAGGGAAACAGGAGAAGGGAAGAGAGTTCCACAGGCGAGAGGTGCGAGACATGAAGCTATTAGAGTAGAAAGAGACGGCTACATTTAGGAGTTTCGACAGTGAAGGGGTGAGAGCGGGATGCCAGCCTCGTAGGGCGCTTGAACTCATGAAGTCTGGGAACCAGCGAATGCAGCTCCTCGGAGCAATTTCCATGAAAGTATTTGTAGAACAGACAGAGGGAGGCGACGGTGCGTCTGTGAGAAAGTGACTGTAGACGAGACGCCAGGGCAGGGCCAACCATATTGCATATCCGCCTCTGGAGCCTATCAAGAACCCGAGGCAAACAGAAGGGGCGCCAGACCATATATGGCAGCAATACTCCATGCAAGGGCGAATTGTGGATTTGTATAGCTGGAGGATCGACTCAGGGAGAAAAAACTTCCTAGCGCGGCTCAGGAGCCAACTTTCCTCGCAGTGGACGAGGGCAATTGACTCGATGTATTTATTCCATCTCAGGTCAGCAGTCAACGTGAGACCGAGAAGCCGCAGAGAGTTGCTCTCGAGAAGTTGAGCGTCAGATATATATATAAGGGTCAAACACTAATATTCTATGGTGATAATGTATTATATTGGAATCGTAATCACGATCCAATTCAATTCATCGGACCTACAAATTCAAAAAGAAATCGGAAAATATAAGTCCGGGTATAAAAAAAAAAACATGTATGTGTGGGAGTAGGAAACAAGTGTGAGAGGTGAATTCATGTAAGCTCTAGAGAGAGGGTGTAATAGAAGAAAGAAGAACAGGAAAGGCCTAAATGTGAAGATGGGGATTCAAATTTAGCAGAGAGAAGTTTTAAAAAGAGGAATGAAATAACGGTTTAAATGAGTGCGATACAGATAAATCTGAATTATTTTCAGATGCATCAATCACTACCGATTCGCTGACCTAAAATTAAACACACACACACACACATATATATATATATATATATGTTTCGTTATAAATGACTGACAAGGTACTGCGATTAAGTTTTGTATTTAGTTTTTCTCGTCTCTCTCTCTCTCTCTCTCTGTGTGTGTGTATATATATATATATGTATATATATATATATATATATATAGATAGATAGATAGATAGATAGATAGATAGATAGATAGATAGATTCAATCATTTTCACCCGAAGCAAAGCGATACTTCCAATAAGGCGCGGGTGTGTACAGGGAGTGAAATAGGATGAGGAGGGTTCAAGAAGACAAAAGATGGTGATTGAAGTTGCATTTAAATTATTGAAGATTGTATGTGAGAGGAAAGCAAGAAATCGGCAAGGAGTTCCACAGGCGAGAAGTGAGAGAAAAAAAACTATTAGAATTTAACTTGTACATAGCTAGTTCATCAGTAAAACGATGATTGGCAACCTAGTCGCGTGTTTAAATTCATGTAATCGAGCTCAGAAGAACAATTGGCATACATAAAACACAGATACACACACACACACACACACACACACATATATATGTGTGTGTGTGTGTATATATATAAAATTATATATACGTTTTTATATATATATATAACATGTATATATATATATATATATAACGTATATATATATATATAACGTGTATATATATATAACGTATGTATATATATATATATAACGTATTATATATATATATAACGTATATTTATATATATATATATAACGTATATATAACGTACATATATATATATAATGTATATATATATATATATATTTATATATACGTATATATATATATATATATATATATATATATATATATATATATATATATATATATATATATATATATATATATATATATATATATATATATATATATATATATATATATATATATATATATATATATTGTGTGGTTGGAGAATTTACCACATTATCATTAATGTCACAAGCTTTTTGCTGTATGACGTGCAGGATGCAATATTCCTTGAGTGTCACGTTCAGCTAAAGAGTGTCAATCCTAAGAAAATCTAGCGGAGATCTTGCCAAAGATCGACACCGTTTTCAGCTATGATGATCCTATAAAATGAATGTGATATGACAGGCCTCGCAATACGTGCACATATGTCTATTTCATTCTGAATATTAAGTTCCATATACGTGTGCATATGAAATGTGACATGTACCTATTCAGCTGGAAAAGAGATGAATGTCCTTGTAGTAAAATACTGATATGTGTATAGGTACATAGACATACATTTTGCAAGTATGCCTGAGTATGTGTATGTGTCTTTGTGTGGGTGATTGTGTGTGAGAGTGAGTGGATCAATGTCTACATGTATGTTCATAGAAAAATGAATAGAAAGAAATTAATCCGCACGTTTCTTGGCTGATCACTATTAATTTCTTCTGAGGGTTATTATCTATCTATCTATCTATCTATCTATCTATCTATCTATCTATCTATCTCAGTGTATACATATCTCTCTCGATCAAGCTAGCTATCTGTCTGCCTATCTATCTATCTATCTATCTATCTATCTATCTATCTATCACATTTTTGTATCTGTCTCGCTGTGTTTTCATATCTACATATTTCAACCTGTTCATTACCAGTGTATCTGTGTATTCATAATTCAATCTATGTTTATCTATCTATATACATCTCTCTCTCTCTCTCTCTCTCTCTCTCTCTATCAAGCTATGTGTCTATCTATCTGTCGGTCTGTCTATATATATATCAGTCTATTTCTTTCTTTCTTTCTTTTTTTCTATCTATCTATCTATCTATCTATCTATCTATCTATCCCTCTATCTATCTAATCAGCTAGTTACCTCATTTTTGTATCTGTCTCTCTGTCTTCTCATATCTACATGTCTATTTTTATCTATCTATCTATCTATCTATCTATCTATCTATCTATCTATCTATCTATCTATCTATGTCAGACTGTTCATTATATATTTCTCGCCAGCTAACTAGGTACAAGTCTTTTTTTTTTATATATATATATATATATATATATATATATATATATATATATATATATATATATCTATTTCATTTCATATCTATATGTATATATTATATTTCATATCTATCTATCTATCTATCTATCTATCTATCTATCTATCTAAGTCTGTTCTTATGTAATAATGTGTCTATATCATTTTTTTTTCATATCACTCGTTGTCTGTTTTTTTTTCTTTTCTCTCTCCATAAAGAAGTCAAGACAAGTGACTACGGTACTTCACTCCAGACAACATATTACCATTGTACTTAAAGGGATTGTGTCCTCGTCACCAGCCACCAATTCTTGTGAAAACTTAACAAATCTTGCAACTACTCATATCGGAAATAAAATTTGACTCTCCGCACATTAAACCGAACTTGTATCATATTTTCGCACCTCATAGGTAATTAGATAAATATAATTAATCCCTCTATCTTCATCTTCTGACAAATTGCCTTTTTTCCTTTAGACACTTTCTTATCTATGTAGGGTTCAATCGGGCGCATGAGGCCATTCTATAAACTTCCTGTTGTCAAAGCCACCATGTTGCAAGTTATTGTCCTTATTTCACCATCTTCCTATGCCTGGATGACCCATGGACATTTATGATAACAGATTGAGAATACCGATAACATTGCAGATTCTTCTTTGAATTTTATCAATAAGCTCTAAATATATAGCAGGTGCACCAGACCATATGTGGCAGCAATATTCAATATTCATTTAATCATGTCTGGATTTTTCTGCTTGTGCGACATGACGCAGTGTCCTGTTGCCAGACACAGGGAATTCCTGCAGCCGCCCTCTTGACCCAGGACAGCACTACCTCTTCAAGGCACTTGTTGTAGACCTCTGGGTTGTGTCTGAAGTCCTCACAAACAACTTCGGGTGTTCTTTTCTTATCAGAACAAACAGAGTCACATTTCCGACCCGCTGTACCTTCTTAATCACCATTAGACACAATCAGCTCTTTCCAAATCCTCTATACTTCCGTCAGATTGGCGCCCAAACACTCTGAAATGTTTCTATTGGAGCTTCCGGCGCAAACACTAACAAGTACAGTATGCCGTTTCCAAATTTCTGGTGGAGTGAATTGCGCCATGTTTCTCTTTTTCTCACAGACGGTGCCCAACTGACCCTAATATACTGTGCAGTCGACAAAATCAAAAACAAACAAGGCGCATGGGCGAAAGAAAAATATAAAATGGCGACAGTTCAACTCATCGCACCTTGTGTGTGTATGTGGGTGTTTGTAAAATTCTTGTTTATTTGAAAACCAACGAAAGCTTTTTTTGAGATTTTTTTAATTTTTGCTTTCCAGGAAGAATATGAATACGAATTGATCTACTGTCATTTGAGCGCTTTTTACTTTTATATTCTAATATCGTGAATATTTATGAGGATTTTTTAGGTTTTTATCAGTATGGATGCATTGTTTCTTTAGTTGTTTTGCGCTTTGCAAAACAATGCATGCTTATAGGTACAATGTTATTAATAAACACGCACACAAAAAAAAATAATAACGCCTAACGAAAGCCGAGAGCTAAAATGGCAGTTCAGAAATTATGTTCAAATAATGCACAGAAACAAAACAAAAAGCAAAAAAAAAAAAAAAATAGTTCGAAGCGTAGAAAACGCTTTTTTTTAATAAAAATCTTAAGCAAAGAAAATTCGTATGTCTTCAAAGCAAACCTGCATAAATTAAACCTTGTTGTCCATTGAAGACCATTTTCATAGCATTCCTTTACTCCACCAATCCAGACCTTCACTGCCCGGAGCCGCCATGTCACGCGCGCGCAGTCGACTCATTCGTATCCCCTTCATATTCCATTGACAAGGAAGAAATTTCACTCAGACATCTTTCAAAGGACTTCAACTTTGTGGTATTGATTCCTGGCAGGATTCTTACCCGATTGAAGTGAATGCAAACAGTCTCTAAACAGATCAACGTGGTGGTATTAATAGGGCCACACTGGTGGCTATTCGCCAACTCTTTCTCATTGAAGAAACACGAACTGACCTACTGCATATGCGTCCGGGGCTCCCTAAGTTGAATGCGAATGTGATTTGAGCCAGTCAATTCGATCCAGATGTTAGAGGTCACGATCACTTGCCAGTCACTCAGCTCACCACAATAAACGATAGTGCTTTCGATAAGTTATTCGAGAAACATATGTGACACCGTAGGTCGACGGGTGTCAGTGGTCCCTAAGATTTCAGGAATAGTATGATTAGTCCTTTGGCAACATCCGAGAGAAGCCTAGCCCGTGTTCACTTTCACTCACTAAATGTTAGAGGAGAACAAATATAACTGTCGTGAAGGCAATGATGCCTCGTACAGTTACCTGCATATATTGTTATCGCTATATATATATATATATATATATATATATATATATATATATATATATATTAGGATAAGGAACAAATATGAAATGTTTATAAATCTAACATTTTTCGCCTATATTAAAAGCTTCATCAGAGAATTAAATATGTAGAAAAAAGAAATAAAGAGAAACATTTTGTCGGATTACAATTCATAGACACACACATATATATATATATATATATATATATATATATATATATATAAATGAAGAAATATAGGTTTAAGGTATGCAACATTTGTGGGATAAAGTGCTCAATATCAGAGATAGATATAAATATAAAAGAGAACATTGAAATCAACATGCAGAGGTGAGTGACAGACTGTTTCATACTAAACATAATCGTTAGGCCTGATGACTGTTTAGCATGAAACAATCTGTTGCCTCTGAGTGTTGATTTCAATGTCCACACACACACACAAACTCACACACACACAAACATATATATATATATATATATATATATATATATAATTAATTTGAATATAAAATTTGACACTGAGCTGATTGATGTTATATTCAGCACCTCGATTCCAAAGTTTAATATACAAACCTTTTGGTAATCTTTCAGTTCACTCGTCATAATGTTTCAGCAATTGGTTGTGGAGCTGTACAAAAGGCGTTGCGGCCAGAAATAATTATTTTCTTTTCAATTCCTTACTTTTCATATTACTATAGACTGAACACTCTTCAATTTTTCATTCTCTACTGCCATGAAATGGCACGATTATATTGAATCACTTGCTATGTCTGTTGCTAGGAAAGTTGTTTCATTGTGTTCTCGAACTCGTATAAAACTACCATTTGTCTATTCGTTGGATATTGCTTGTTTGAGGGTTCTGTAATATATTTAGATATTCTTGACAAAATCCAAAGATCTGCAAAAATTATTTTTAATCATTTCACCCAAGCAGGCAGTAATGCCACTAGAACGGGGTTACAGAAAGCGAAAATGAAAGTGAAAGTGAAAGAGAAGACTGAGAATAGGGAAGAATGAGGAAAGAATAAAAGATGAGCGCGATTCGTTAAGATGGCGATTGAAGTCGCATTCAAATTTTTGAAGATTGCAGTTATCAGGGAACCAAGTAAATGGAAGGTTTTTCCATAGGTGGGAAGTGCATGAAAAGAAGCTGTTGGAATAGAAGTATGTTATTGGTCCAGATCTGGAATCACGGTTTCAATCACATTCTCACCGCCTTAACATCGCTTCCTTTTGCCTTTACGATAAATACTTATAATTTAGAAAGCAGGAATTATTAGAAGTATCCATAAATTCTATTGTAATATTTTCTTCCCTCGGGCTTCGCGCTTGTGGAAGACTGTTACAGATTATATCTTTCCTGTCACTAAGGATATTAAAGAATTTAAGTACAATGTCATCATCTTTTATTTCCTTTGTTCCTGTTCTTTTATAGTCCTCTCCCCTCAATAACGTTTTCTCAGTTTATTCCCCTCTCAGTACGTCTGATTTTATCGGATGAAATGATAAAACAAACAACTTACTTTTCCTCTACCTGGTATCCAATTATCATCGATTTTTCCTCTATATTCTCTTTCTTTTATCTTTCTTCGTCTCTTCGTTTTCTGTATTCCCTATTCTGGAAATATCTTTTTAATCTCCTTCTTCGTTTACTCTTCTTTAGTTTGAACTTAACATGGCTTGGACTTAAAATGTCAGAGTGGTACACGTCAGTGTCTCGCATCAGTTTTACAGGTGGTAGAAAGAAATCAAAATACACAATTTGACTTTGATAATGAAAATATATACAAAAGCGACCGGCTAGACACAAAGGAGGGTCATCAGAATCAGAAGCAAAATAGAGCTATTAAAATATTCTTGTTATTCCATTCAGGCAGAAGTGGCCAGACAAAATGGTTATCTTATTTGGCAGTAGAAGAAACACCCTCTTTCTTTTGACCCGTTATTTTCCCTAGCCTAAATATTGTGAATACAGTCAGGAGTCATAGACAAAATTGAATTTCTTCCGATTTTATCTCCCGACATTCTTGCGAGGAAATAGCTCGCCTGTTACATTGATTCTTCTTCTTCTTCTTCTTCTTCTTCTTCTTTTTCTTCTTTTTCTTTTTCTTTTTCTTCTTCTTCTTCCTCTTCTTTTTCTTCTTCTTCTTCTTTTTCTTCTTTTTCTTCTTCTTCTTTTTCTTTTTCTTCTTCTTCTTTTTCTTCTTTTTCTTCTTCTTCTTCTTTTTTTCTTCTTCTTCTTTTTTTCTTCTTCTTTTTTTCTTCTTCTTCTTCTTCTTCTTTTTCTTCTTCTTCTTCTTTTTCTTCTTCTTCTTCTTTTTCTTCTTCTTCTTTTTCTTCTCTTCTTCTTCTTCTTCTTTTTCTTCTTCTTCTTCTTCTTCTTCTTTTTCTTCTTTTTCTTCTTCTTCTTCTTTTTCTTCTTCTTCTTCTTTTCTTCTTCTTCTTCTTCTTCTTCTTCTTTTTCTTCTTTTTCTTCTTCTTCTTTTTCTGCTGCTTTTCAATGCTTCTTCAATGGTCCTTCTTCACTGCTTCATTGCTTCTTCTTCAATGATGCTTCTTCAATACTTCATAAATGCCTATTCAATGCTTCATCGTTTTCTTC